AGAGAGAGAGAGAGAGAGAGAGAGAGAGAGAGAGAGAGAGAGAGAGATGTTTTGGCCGCGTTATTGTCGCGTTTTTTTAACGATGTTAAACCTTTGCAAACCGCGTAAGGGCCTCTCGTGTTTCTCCGCGAGATAAGTCCGACGTGTATCCCCCTTTCTCTCATTCTATCCGAGCACTGATTTGTTGCATCAACGTGGCGGCCGCGTATATTTTACAGATTTTACGATTGGTGGTATATTCCCGAGCGACGAGATATATAAAGCTAGCTCAAGTCGGCTGTTAGTTAATCATTTTCTGAATATGTCAGCCGGTTATTAGACTCCCATGTTTTCGTGCGGTTAACGCGCAGTTTATACAGCGTTAATCATTTCGTCGTCTTTATATATCAGGATTAATTAATTCTATATTACACGTTATTTAATGTTCAACTTCTGTTTAGAAGTTGTACATAGTCAGATTGCAGCGCAATTCCGTTAAACATTTTGAAGAGGTAGCAATCAATTTCCCGTTACGCGCAGAGAGAGAAGTCGTCGAGGCATTCCCGACACGAATATCCACGATAGTGGTCTGGAAAGTTAGATAACGAACTAATAGCGTCATTAGTCCTCAACGCTCGCTGTTACCAATGTGAAATCGTTAGCTATTTTTCAATCTTCGCGAAAACTCGTTTACGCGAAGCGAAGCGGGCGCAGAGAGCGAGACTATAAATATTTATTCCGAGACCCTCGTTTTCGCGAGCTTCGTCCTTTGATCGAGAGATACTTCGCATTAGCGAGCGTGATAAGTTGCATGTCCAGTCGCTGCAAAGCGCATCCTTCGCGGACGCTCGGCGCTTGGCGCTCGGCCGAAGCGAGCGAGACTGGACAGAGCGAGCAGGGAACGCGCGGCTGGTTCTCGCTGCCCCCCTCGAAAGAAAATCTTATGAATGAGCGGGTTCCCCATTCACTTTTAACCGGAGAACAGCCGTAACGAGCAGCACACGGTGTTCCGAAGCCGCCGATGCTCGCGCAGCACGCAGTGATCTATCGCACAATGTCGAGGCGCAACAATTCGTCTATGATGTACCTACTTGATAGAGCAGTAATAGTACTGCGAATACCGCGTTATGGTGACCGGATGATTACAATTCCGTACGATGCGTAATAACGGCACATTATTTGTTGCCTAGTCAAAGCGCGAAAATAAGCTATACATTTGTTCTACATTATCTAAATTCATTTCCGTCAGATAGTTACTGTATTAACATAAAGAAATCAGTAGATAATAAAATATAGGTATTAAAATAATGCAATATTAAAATATCGAAACTTTAATGGCAATATTAGAACTTAATACAAAAGACAGAGAAAAAAACTGTTTCCACGATTTTTTCAATCGCCAATCTAAGAAATATCGCTTATTAAGACCAAAACTATGTTTTTTCCGCTAAAACCGTTTCTGCGCATACATCTACACAAATGAAGTATTTTTCTAACGCAAATATTCGTAAAAATGATGCCAAGGTGCAAGGTGCAATATCTAACGTATGCGAGATCGATAAGGATCGAGCGAAAGTTCAATGCCGTTCAACAGTAATCGCGACACGCAAGCATCATCGTGCGTCGCTTATTATGCACCACGCCTGCATTTATTACTTATTGTCAGATGAGAGTATCTCGTTGCGCATCGCGCACAACTGACTATCTCACGCGACAAAACGCTTTGTCTCCGTCCACTTATCTCGATCGTCTTTCGCTCGCAGGAGTGTACGCCTCCAGCGAGTAATTGCGTCAGCAATTCAATCGCCGCGAAATTATCGCGCCATTACTCGCGCGAGCCGTCCCGCGGGCGAGTACACTCGTCAACCGCGATCTAACTCGCGTACCGTTGATCTAGATCGATTACTTTTCCAAATCTCCGACCTTCGTTTAGTTCTTCCCTTACATAATTGATATAATTATATATAGGAATTAATTAAAACGTAGTCAATAAAAATTTTTTTGTGACAGAAAAATTGGTTTCTTTTAAAATATCATTAAATTTTAAATCTATGTATATTGTCAACAAGTTATTCAATCTACTTCACTTCCGCAGTGCATCACGTAGAATTATTTACGTAAGGAAAGTCACGCGATTTGTATTCTGATTACACTAACGACTTCTAATTAAGTTACTACGATGCAACATTTCCTTACAATGGTTAGAACAATGAAGTTTTCTAATGTAAAAGTGATTTTAATGAGTGATTAAGTAAACGTAATAATACGAGGAATATCCGTGGGAATGGTATAAAATTTCGATTACTTATAATTAATCATTGTCCACCTATCGCGAATAATTAGTTATATTACGGTATTGCAAACACAATTACTCATAATTGATTAAATCATTAAATGATTACGGAGCGGAGCCTCCTTGCGATCGCTCGAACAATGAACAACTTTCTCTGTAAAAGCAACTCTAACGGGTGATTAAGTAGCCAGAATAGGAAGGTATAATAGCATAAAATTGTATAAAATAAGGCTTTAATTAATTATTGCCTATTAGGGACTTACAGCGGGATCAATATATCGTATTATATGGTACTATATCATAATGCACGTTATATTATGCACCATTATTTAAATACAATCATATCATACACATATAAAATTATGTATATATATATATATAATTTATAATCATTTTACACGCGCAAGTGTGCATGATGATTATAAATGAATATAATTTTATGATAATTCCACATGTGTAATTGCAATGCTCTCCGAGGAATTTATCTCGCGCGTTCTTCATTGCTCGAGTTTATCTACTCGTATGATTATCATCTCGAATATCCATTTCAAGTCAAACATTAACATATCGCGTCCCATGTTTCCTTATCAGCGTCGTCGGATAAGGGAACTCGCCAATGAGTCATCTTTGCAATGCAACAGATGCATCAGTTATTTATGTCCTGCTGCATTGCTGGTAGTCGAGATGCTCCATTTTCTCATTTAAATGGCCTAACTACCTAATTACAGGGTGTGTCGCGAGGAATTTTATGCAGACGATTCTAGCCACGATGATATTTATATATAATCGTTCCTTGTGCAGATACGTTACGTAAATATAATTTTATTATATTAATCTCTCTCTAGAAATTTAAAGTATCAAAATTTATATATAAAACAAAAATCAAACTAGTAAATATCCAAAAATTAAAGATCAATATAAGTCTTCTCACTCAAATATCCACAATTTAATTCATGTTTTTCTAATTTTTAAATCTTTCGAATATATAATACATTAATAATAAATGTATCAATTATAGATATTTAAATAAGAATAAATTAAAATTTAGATATAAATATAAATTATATACATACATATATATTACTTATTTATATATAACCACAATTGCTATCGAAATATAAAAGATACTATATTCTGTCTCATACAATGAATCTTTTATCGCACAACGAAAACGACTCAGAATACGCCGATCACAAATCCACCTGCTTATTAATTCAACTCGAGCGTTCCGCCTTCAACGTCAATCGAGATGACGTACCTCGATTTCCTTCGTTCAATACCTACCAATACCTATCGCGTCCTCAATAAGCATTACAAATGCACGGTTATAATGACGTACATGTACACGTTTGTAATTTACAAAAGCGCGCATATCGAGGATGACTCGGAGTACTTACGCTTGCCTCGCGAGTCCCGGGGGAGGACGTCTCTTTCCCAAATCACCACCACCAGAATCACCACAAGCGCGCGGCGAGTCCCGATCGCGCGCGCGCGCGCACAGCGATCAGCTCTCACGGCAGCGCGGCGGATTCTTCACTCATCGAGCGGAAAATCGAATGTCCGTCGACGCCGGTGGATTTCCCGGCGACATACGCGATCGGGTGCGCGCTCTCGGCGCCGGGGAATGCGTCGCGCTGTCGGGGAAGCGCACGAACGGCGGCGGCGGTGAGAAAGGGTTGGAAGATGTCAAAGATCTCGGCGAGCGCGCGCGAGATTACGGAGCCATGCAGACGGAGGAGAGGATTAGGAGTCCTCCTCGTCTCTCTTATCGCTCTCTTCTTCTTCCCGGTCGGGAGCGGTTTTCGTTTTTCGTTCGCGTACGTCGTTCAAGCGGTTTTAAAACGCGCGATGCCGCTGCGGTATACGTCTCGCGGGGTTACGCGCGAACCCCATGCTCGCACTCGTCGCGTCCCAATCAGAGACTGAGGCGCCTAGAGACAGGCCGCCCGTATAAATGCGCCGCCGTGCGAGCGGTCGAAGTGCCGCGGGTGGAAAGGGGGAACCGGAGACCGGAGTCGATCCGCGGCGCACCACGAGGGGTCACTACAGATTGGAGAACGCGCGCTCATCGCGATATCGTCGATACAACGACCGTAAATATAAACAATTTTTTGAATCCTTGTCAACGTGTGTGTTAACAAAGTGTCATCTTTCTCTCGATAAAATTCATATTATTTTCATTTCAATTTTTCGTAAAATCTTTATTGACATTTTGCGTAACCGTATATAAAATCTAATAATAAGTATATTTATTATCTTTTTTAGTGGAGACACAAACGTTTCTCCTTCTTATAATTTTCTATAAATATTATAATGACGATTATTTTCTTTTATTATTCAAAATGCACATACATATAACCTGTTTATGTTGCATCGTTGATTACCGACCAGATCGTTTTCATGTAGCCGTCGATAAACACGTGTTTGTAGAATACCGCCGCAAGTCTAATCGACTTCGGGTAACAAAGGTTTATATTTTTTTTGTATATATAATTTATTAATGTTTTTATAAAGGTTTAGTGCCTTTAAAAAATATTTATGCGAGAAATAATGACTAATTAGCTACTTAAAGTTGATTATATGCGATAATAATTAAGATATATTTTTGTTATTTAACATGAATGCACATTGCAAGTGACAATTATGATAATAATAATGATAAATATTAGCTAAGAAGTCAATCAATTACGATAATAATAATAAATACTAGTTAAAAAGTCAGTTATTTGCGATAATAATAATTATAAATATTAAGTTCAAAAAATCATTCAATTACGATAATTTAACAATAATAAATACTAGCTAGAAAGTTAACTGGAAATTAAAACTTCAAGTGAAAGGTATATTTAGTATAATACCAATTTTTTTTAATAACGAATATGCATCGTGAAAAATATTTTATGCAGCAGCTTTTTAACTTAATATATTAGATATATATCTTTACAATATTCTTTACATATAAAATATTTATACGCGAATAAATGCGTTTTTTGCTCTTCTTGCGCTTCTTGTGAAATTGCATAATTACATACGAGTTTTCTACTTGATCAGCAGGTGCGATTGCACGGGAAGGGAGATGTTTATGGTGAATTGCTATGGAAACCCATATGTAAAACTTTGTCAGGTCTCCAGTGAACTCTCTACGCAAAGGCACTCTATTGACTCATAAGCTTTTAGATTAATAAATTTATATTACAGCAATTAACTTTATTATAGCAATAAGCGACAATAAGTTTCCCAGACGAAAATATCGCAGTTGTGTGTGTACAATGAGCGGAATTATTCACGAGAGAGATAAGAGAGAAAAACGAATCCCGCCGTGTGGGAAAGTGCGCTCCGCTGAAAGCACGAAATGCAGGAAATCCCTGTTGAAGCTAAAGCAGCAAGAGTACCTGATGGAAAAGAGTCTCGCCAACTTGATGGAGAACATGAAACTGGAACCAGAAGTTCTACGACCCGTTTTGCATAATATGAGTGACATCTCGAAAAACAGGTAGGCAGCGAAAAACGAATCAGTCGATCTTAGATTGCGTTATGCATATCAAGTCCGCACGGCATCGTTCCGCAGCGTCTTTAATTTCGATATATGTCTTTATATATAAAGGCAGATTTTTCTGGATAATATGAGAAAACCCTTGGAGGAAATTACTGAGGAGATGCAATCGGCGCAATCAGTCACGAACTGTCCCGAACAGATCCAAAAATTAGGTGAATCTTTGCATATCTCATTTACTTTCCACTGATAATATACTTTCGCTTTTATTTTCGTTCTTATTTCCAAATTATTTTTGTATTTTAATCTAAAATTTTACACATTATTTCTAATTAAACGTGTTGCAATTTCTATTCGTTAAAAATTTATTTAAAAGAAATTGAAATTCTAATCCAAACGCATCTTAACGATTAAAGAGATAAGTTCGGTGTTTAAAACCAGAAAATAAATTTTTATTTAGATACAAATGCATACAAACTACGGCTCGTGAAATTGTCGCAAAAAATTCGGGACTTTCAGGAGACCTGCCAACTGCAGACTACGACTTTGTCGCAGGAGCAAACTGCTCTCGAATCTGAATTACGTGAATTTGAATCGAATTTGCATAAGTATGAGAATGCAACCGGTAGTATCGGCAAACCGACGTCCGCCGCGTCTTCTAAGGAAAATAAAAAGTGTTATGATTATAAGGAGATCGAGAACTTCCACGAGTTAATTGCTAAAACAGGTATCAAACACATTTGCATTCGCCTGCGTTGGCAATTAAAGTGAGCAGTAAAACATAAATTATATGACAGTTGCGTGTTACTTTATAACACGTAATATATTTGTATTAAATATCGCCTAATGAAATGTTTTATATTAATCCAATCAAGTAGTAGATATAAATAATAAATCATGCCCTATTCTTAATTATATATTCTTAAACTTAACTTTTATACTTACACACTAGCTTGAATTTTTGCTCTATTATAACTTTATTATTAAATACAATTAAATGCATTCCATCAATTGCTATACATTTATACATATTAATACATATTAACACATTTATACGTATTAAAAAAAAAATCAGTATACAAAGCATATTAAATTAAAAAGTTACGTCGCAGGCCACACTGATAATTGGAGCGACGAGGATCACCTGTTGTTTCTAAAAATGCGGAAGAAGTGCAGCAACATCCCTGCCTTGGTCGTTGCCATTCGAGTCAAATGTCCGGATCTAACAGCGGAAACTATAGTGAATCACGAGGCTTGGTACAAGATTTATCTGAGGCTGCGTGAAAAGCAACGCTCGAGAGTTACAGAGTGGCGCAAACGAAAAGAAATGGAGAAGATGAAGATGAAGAATCGCGAGGATGAAACCGGGGCCGAGACCTTGGAAGAAATTTCGCGAGAGAGAAGGCACTCCAATATCACGGAAGATGTTTCGACTTGCGTGATGGATAAATGCAAAGGAAGGACAACGAAGAGTGGCAATTCCGTTGATGTCAATAATCAGAAGAAGGAATTAATAAGACGGTGGAAAACGGAAAGAGAGAATAAACGTTTGATGGACGAGGAGCAATCGAGGATTCTGATGGAGTCGAAGCTTGCCGCGCAAGATAAACGTAAAAGGGAAAGATTGAAAAGACTTCGGGAAGTTCTGGCGGAGCATCGTGAGAGAAAATTGATGGAAGTTTCTTCCGAAGCTTCGAAAAACGACTTGAGCGCGGAACCAAAGTACAACCCGATGTTGATTAAAGCTTTTAGGTAGAGTCAGCTGTTTTCAAATAAGTTACACAAAAAGAATATTAACGTACTAAATAAAATAATGAGAAAAGTATGAGATTTTTGGCTAATTTTTATCTTACAACTTAATTTATAACCTTAATAAAAAAATCATAATATTTTAACAAGTGATACTTAAATAATCTATCTATCTAGATGACTAATATAGATGTAGTTTGTAGTATAATTGTCGTTCTAAATCTTAATTATAAAATTGTGTTTTTTGATAATATTAGAAATATAATACTGATAGGAAGCAAGATGCAGAATATACAAGAAGAAAGAAAAATTTGATAGCGAGACGGAGGTTGATTAAAAATCAAACAATAAAAATCATAAAATCACAAATCGTTAAAAAGCAAGATCACTCGACTTTGTTGAATTCAACTGAAGTATGGAGAGAAAAATGCAGACTGCATGATCCTAACGCGAGGGAGCCGAAAAAACTGCAATATATTAAAGACGTTCCACGTTTGTACGTTTTTTAAAAGGAGGAATGCTTATTTTTACGTGTCTAATTTACAATTAAATATTTCGTCTTTTTAGATATGTCCAATGGAGAAACAAAGAATCGATGGAGATCAAGGATGCTCTGACGTTTTCTTGAGTCAAGGATCTTTCCTCCTCAGCCAAAGTGCATTTACAGCTTAACGAAGAAGGCAATAAAGAAATACATAAAACGTTGATATATATACTTGTTTATTTTTCTTTATGAACGTACCTTTTTTCCTTCAGACAATGAACATAATAAGTTATAAGTAAACGAGTGTCGAATTTATCCAGGATCGTCATTTCACGCGTGTATTCCTGGCTTTACAAGTATATTACAAATCGTAGTTCTTTCTTTGTGTTTGTTTCCGTTACTTTTATTTTCAGTAGCAAAAAAGGATCAAAGAAAAAGGGAGAAAATTACCGTCGTCAGGGATAACTTCAACCCTCGATAGCTTTTTACTAGCTCAAATATATATATAATATACTTTCTATCAATCTCTTTCGGCTCGTTAATTCGAGATATTCTTTCGTTTAAATTACCAAATACAAAAACACATAGGTGTGATATAATATATATATAATGCTATGATACAAAAGAGTGTCTCGTATATCGCGCCGAATATGATAAGCTCGACGATAGCTCGACGGTTCGCCCGCAGTACTTTTAAATTCCTCTTTAATAATTATCACTATATTTATTTACGTATCGCGGGATAATCTTACACGGCGTGATATGGTGACACCTCTCACTCTTCGTGAGAATACGCGCAAAGACCCTAAAACATACTCTTCTTTTTTTTCTCTCGCTTTTAGACAGTACATTATATATTTATACTCTTGTTTTTATTTATTTATTTATTTATTTATGTAGAAATATAATTATTCAGAGGAGTTTGTTTTATTACAACAAACGATAAATCACGTTTTAACATACATTCTATTTCATTCACGCTCTCTCGATTGACACACACGTCACTGCATCAGCTGCCGCGATTACTTGTTTATCACTAACCTCTGTCCAAAATCCAAATAATAAATATATACATGTGTATGTGTAAACATTTGTACAGCGAAGCCTCCTTTTCATCTCCTGTAACCTATCACTAACATTTGTTTCCTTACCCAGCGAGAAATGACCCATCGAATCCCATCGAATCGACGTCTAATCAACGTCGAAATCATGATTTTGATTCGATGGGTTATTTCTCGCTGCGTAGTCAACGGTGAAGTCCATGTGTACTGCGCTGTCTCTCGATCGTATCGGCAGACTAATTTTTGCTCTATTAATAACAATCCTGCCATTCTTTCGAATAATAGCAGCTCGTTTCACAATAACGCACTTTCTTGAGTATGAAAATCGACTAGACGATCATCAGAAAAAAAGTGAGCATATCTTTTTTTTAACGAACGCTCCGAACAGACGTTTCACGAGAAAACTTCAAAGTGAAAGATAATCATGAATCCTAATATAAGTTTATTTCTATAAATGAATCCTATAAATTCATTAATAAAATAAAAATCTGTCTCTTCGGTAAGCGAAATGAAATGTTTAAATTGATCTAATCGTGTTAAAATGTTTGAATTAATATATTACGGATAAAATGCAAGAAAAAACAGTTGGCGAAAAAAAGAAAGCTTTTCTGAGAGGGTTTTGAAGAACGCATAAGTTATTGATAAATTTTATTAGAATCTTTACATTCGTGAATTATTTACAGATATAATTGCATATGTATATATTTATATATATATGTATAATCGTAGCTGTCATTACAGTTTCGAAAAGAAAGACTTCCTCGAATTTTTCGTGACAATACTGAAGAGGCTGACTTCGGAGAGAACTGCTACCAAAGCCGCGCGAGAGCATATACAGCATATAGCTTCCGTTTTTAGAAGCTTTTAGCTTTTTTTCACGTTCTCCGCGAGGAGAGAACGCTTCAATCAATTATAAAAATATACGGTAGAAAAACGGTATAAAAGAACCACTTGTCTTCAACCGATGTCACGACGACATTCGGAGTACGATTTAGAAATTGTTTCGGCATAGTTACCCAAGTGGAGCAATATATTCATCATTTTTTTTTCTTTCGCGTGTAAAACACTTTTCGATTCAAAGTGCGATATTATTAAATCGTCAGTCTGCGAGAAATATTCTTGCAGGTATTACCGTATTTTTGGATATCCATTATTATCGAATTAAAAAATACTAAAGAATCTGATTTTCTCTTATAAAGCTCGCTCATATTTCCCGAACATAAAAACACTTAGACGAATATCTAGTTGATAAATTATTCTTTCCGATGTATTTTCCGAGAGAGAACCGCACGCGTCGGGAAATAAGTTCTCGCTTAAACTCTAGCATTGCACGTTTCGAGGACGGTACAAATTCGGAAACAAGACCCCACGGTTCGCATCGTGTGACTTGCTGACAAAAAGGTAATTTGTAATACGTGTGATAATATATAAACTAATGAAATTTTCAATGTAGGTTTAGATAATCACAGTGTTCGCAATACGAAAATTGTAATAATTTAATGTTACGTAGAAAAAATGTTACTATTTTTACGTACAACGTTAAAATTATAACATTTTTTGCAAGAATACTTATATTGACAACAATTATGAATATTGTTGTGAATATAAAGGTATATTTTTGCACAACTTAATGCCCGACAAATTTGTATCGCACTTGTTAGAAAAATCAGACACTTAAATTATTTTGTGCACATATTACTGATCGCGTTGCAGTTATAAAAAGAAAACCTAGTCCCTCCGCAATCAAGCCTCTCGCGCCGAAGTCTAATTAACTGATTCGCCGATAAATAATAATAATGATATATATATATATTATATTATATATATATATATATATATATATATATATATATATATATAACGAGGCAAAGCGAATCAACTCATATAAAACTATTTGATACATTATATAAAACTAATAAATTAATAATAGCATCTTGGAGAGACCTCAAAGTAGAATACAAATTTTCGGAGTTTACTGACTACCGAAAGTTTTTACCACGATTTCGCAATCCCCCCCCCCCTGCGACAAGAAAAACTAATAAGAAAAATGCGAACGGTTATAAGAAGCGACAAAGTCACGTGCGCAAAATCAAAATTTCAATCCTCTGAAATCGAGAAAACGATTTTACGACGAATGATTTTGTGCGAAAATTCGCGGGCGTTGCGTGAAATAACGCGCAACGGTTACTACATAAATTACGGTTCGCGTTTTGCCTTCTCCCGGATCCAATAGTTGTTCGTAAAAATCTGGTGTTATGCAGTCTTCTATATAGTATTCAGCATCTCGAATTTCTATCAAGAAACGAGACAGGTCATTTTTTTTGTTTTCTAAGAGAATTCAATCACACTTAATAACCGAATTCCACTAATATCTAAACGTCAGAAACGCACGTGGTCCGAGTTAGCACAGTCTGACAGATTTCTTTCTATAGACGGCATAGTTGCCAAAATATATTTCATGAAAAGAAAATCAAATAATATTGAGCACGAAAAAATATACACGAAAATTTTATTTTGAGAATCAGAAAGATTAAAAAAACGCGACGAAGTTTTTTTCCCTCCGGATGAAATTCCAACGTGCGCTTCTAAGGTCAACGCGCATCCTTAATGCTAAACGAATGAATTCATACACGTTTTTATGCCAGATTTATTGACGTGATATAGACGAGTGTACATCTGGGCCTCGATAAAGCGCGAATTTAATCGTAAATCAAGTATGCGAAAGATCTTAGATCTTATATTCGTCAATAAAGTTATCAAATCCGCAAACAATGCGAAAATTTGCGCATAATCCCTCGTGATCGAATATAAATGCATCGCGTCGCTAATGATCGGATAAAACACTTTCTCGAAAACGCAACAAAATATTTGCTCCACGAAATAAGCTCGCACAAATCGCATCTGACAAAACTGTTAATAAATTTAACAATTATATGTAGAATCAAAAGCTATAAATTAGTTTTTTGTTTTTAACAAGAGAAGTTGAGATACGTAGCGATAAAATTGAATGAATTCCCAACACGATAAAGATAAGTTTAATAATTTTCTTCTACGGTTTTCGTTTCTTTTTTAAGAAATAAAGATGTTCACAAAAAATCAATGTAAAGTAATATGTAACAAAAGTTTCTCTTAGTGTAAATTTTTAAAAGGAGGAAAGCAAGTTTGAAAGAATAATATGATGGATCAACATTCTCTGAATACATATTAGAAACCATTCAATTTTTTCCCTACGCGTTGTGGAAAATATGAAGGCTCCGTATAATCGTTAATTACCGCGAGACATATGCTAACGAACCGTCGTTAGCAAATTCCTCGAAACGTTCGCTACAAGAGAAAACGAAAACAATTTTGGAACAAGAACGGAAGCGTTCGTTTGATCGTCGTCGTCGTCGTCGTCTTCGTTTCCAAGCCGAAAAGATGTGCGTACTCCACTAAGATAAATCATAATTATTCTTGATATCAGTATTCGCGACATCCTGAAGTCCCGATGGATAGACACTAGATACTAGATACTTGTAGCATCCGAGTTTGATTTAATCGGGCAACGTGAGCACAATCAATGTACTTCACGTTTGCCCGTGTCTGTGAAAAAAAACGCGACGATCACTTTTTCCTTTTTTTTTTTTCAAGTACTATGTATACTTGTAAACTATAAATGTATAAAAACGATTACTCGCCGCGATGGAAAGAAAGTGTAACACAATACAATTTCTTTATGATTCTCGAAGTAACAACTGTTTTTAAATTTGCTTGGATTTTTAAGCACAAGGAAAGACATCTCTTTTGCTTATGTATTATTCGAAAAATCAATGATACCCTTCATGGAGTGCAGTAACGGCTGTCGTATACTGGCAATAGAAACGAAGACGAAGGCGAAAAATGCGATCCTAAAACTGTATTTGTATTAATTCTGTGGAAAATAACGGATGCGGATTTTTTTTTTATTGCTTTTTAGATAACCAAGTATTGCATCCTACAAATGATTTCTCGAGTATATATTTCACAAATATTTATAAGAAATATTGCTAAAATTTTCTTTAATTTTTGAATTTACAAATGTGACATCAAATTTTAGAATCGCATCCTTCAAGTAGTTTGCATTACACTATAAGTTTTTTCTCTGTCGTCTTACGCCAATAGATCCCGCTTTTCGCTTTCGTCGAGAGAGTACGCCATACACACACACTATTGTTTATCTCTATAAGCTTGTATAAAAAACGATATCTCTTTGTTCTTTTCTTTCCTTTTTTTTTTATCGTTTTCGTCGTTTCGTACACCAAGGACGAGTGAGTGCATGAAGCAAACTATATTGGGACAACATGAATTCTGAATAAATACTTAATATTACAACAAAATCTTAAGTATTCTTCGTAAATGTCACCGCTATATAGTTTGTAAGAAAATAAGATACTTTACTTGAAGATTTGTATGTACAGATATTACAAACAACGTTTCGTAATGCATAGGCAATGCGTCCTGCTACTCTATTATTATACATACTGCAGAGGAGGACCTATACAAATCCGCCCTCCATCGAAGTTCGATTCGTGTTGTCTGCAAAATTTTGTGGACCTTCGATATTTGGTATCGTCCATTAAAAGTGAGTAATTACCGCTTATGTCGATAATACTGACCTAATCTCTGAGACTTTCGGACATGCTTGATTAAACACGAGATTTTCTACCTGATAATGTGCTTATTTAGTATCACCAATTCTTGTTAAAAATAAATTTTATATTGAATTTCTAAACAGATTTTTTTTTAGAATTTTTCTCGTATATGTATATAATAAAATATTGCATAAATATTTATTATAACTTACACAGAAAATAATACGTATGATATTACTAAATAAATATTGAGATTGAAACAGCTCAAACAAATTTTGTAATGATCAATTCTTTATTCTACTATAATCAATTAGATTATTTATTATTGGACCATAAATACAATTTATTATTGTATTATCAAATGTCCTAATGCGGGAATTTATTTCATTACTTCTTTACACGAAGTTTGAAATATTATTGCAAACATTAATATGAATGTTATAGTAATCATCACGGAAATATTCCTTGTATCATTTCATTAAATTTTGAAACAAACGCAGGAAATTTAAGATATACATTTATAAATCCTCGGAATAAATGTATCTAAATTTTAATTAGTTAGCATTATCGAAACAAGCAGCGCTTACTTTACTCAAATACAGTCTGAACATAAAAGAAGAGGAAACAACGACGAATTAAACTGATAGTGTTCAAACTGCACATAGTTTTTGTAGCCTTTTCCTTTTCGTATTAATTTCATCCATAAAAAAAAATTGATCAATTATTAATATGACATTATTTACAAGTGAATTTTGTTCGAATGTAATTTATTGTACTTGGATTCTCTCGGAGAACTTGGTTCGTAGTATTTTCTCGGATTTCTTGTGACTCCCAACGATTCTCGCCTTTTGCGGCATTTCGATAGAGTTAAGCAATCGCCAGAAGTTTTCGCTCGTCGAAAATGATCGTATTGACGGCGTACTTTCGCTGGGAAAGGAAATTTGAACGAACCACGTTCCCGAGCCGGTCGCACGAAATATTTAACGAGCCGATCTCGCTACCAACGACATGACGGATCGATAAACCTCACAGACGCCCGCCGTTTCGGTCAACAACACGCTAATCCTACCTCAACGTTCGATCGCACTTAAAAATCTCTTGCTACCATTCCTATTGAAGATCTCTTTCTCTCGCTCACATGCATTCCCACATAGTTATAGTCTCTATGCAATTTTCTGACGGAACGGTATCTTGTACCGGAACCGTCTTCAAAGTCGTAGCACAACTTCAACGATTTGGGGGAGAGAATTGTCTTGAGTGAAAGGGACAGTCGCGCTATAATAGCGTCCGAGTTTTGGTTACGCGAAACGAGAGTTATTCCAGCCGACCGATCACACGTGCATACTATCGCGAACATTTGTATATACACACAGGACGAAATATACCACCGCACTCACACTAGGAAGTCAGGGTCACTGTAGTCCTCGCCGCTTTCGCTGCTGTCGGAGATTCTTCTCCTCTTCTTCTTCTTGTGCTTCCTCACTGACTTGTCCGTCTTGTGCGTGCGGTGCTTCCGGTGCGACTCCCTCGAGTCCGGATGGGTGTGTATCGTCAGCTTCGGCACCCGCGGCGTCGTCGTCGGCGTCCCAGCGACCGTCGTTGTCGCCGTTGCTGCCGCCATAATCGGCAGCGAGTGTACTGAATTGTTCGGATGCTCCATCGGAGCGGTCAGATTCGATTGTGGCGGTAACTGGAACTGCTGCTGGCCAGCCGTGATGATAAGAGCGGCAGCATCTCCCGCGACCGCACCGTCGGCTATCGTCCTACCGTCAGCCTCGGAACGCGGCGGTATCCTTGCCGCTTGCGGATTCTCCGCACTGTGCTTGCCACCACCGCTGGTGTCGGCAGCATCGTTGCCACCATCGTCGTCTGGTTCCTCAGGATCAAATTTCAGCATCAGCTGCTTGAAGTCCAGATACTCTTTCACAAGCTTCTTTCTGCCGTTTTCGTCCAGCTCCTCGTTGATGGTCACGCCATCCCGCAGCCTCTGCAACGTAGCCTTGGGCTCGAAAAGCAAATTATTCTTACGATTTACCGCCTTCTCGTAGACCTTGGCTGCTTCCGACGGCGAATATTGACCGATCTTTGCGTCAGAAAAACCATAAAGGTTTTTGAGATGCTGCCGAAGTGTTAATAGCAGCAAAAAGCCTTGACTGGCGGTAATATACTCCCTGAGCAAGGTGGTATCGCCTGGCAACCTGGCTAGAAGAACTTCTTCGTCCTCCTCATCATCTTCTTCATCCTCCAGTGCTGACAACAATTGATCAGATTTTGGTTGACCATCCGGTCCTATCATCGTCGTTTGTCCCGCTGGCTGCCCCATTGGTTGACTCATCGGCTGCCCCATGGGTTGACCCATTGGCTGACCCATCGGCTGTTCCATTGGCTGTCCCATCAGCTGTCCTATCTGCTGTGCTGTCGGCTGTCCCATCATATGCCTAGAATGCCCAGATTGCCCCGCGCTGCTCTCTTTAGGCAGCAAAGCCTCTTTAAAAGACTGTAGTAAATTCGTTCCGGACATAGAAATGATAATGTCAATGTGATGGATGATGAAGAGCGGTTCATCCTGTACTTGATATGTAAAGTAGGCGAGATTGTCCGCCAGGTATAGCATCTGCGACAGACTGGTTTTGGCAGCCTCGTCGAAGTGCTTGAGAAAAGACAATACGATCGCCCGCCTCTGCTGTTTCGTATTGCGCAGGATCGTATAGAGGAAACCGTTGAGCGCGCTCGGAAACTCACTCTCCTTCGTTCGCATACCTCTCACCGTGATGTCGTTCTGCAGGATTTTCTGCAACCGGTAGCTCAACTTGATGCCAAATTGCGACTTCATGTGAATGAAGCCCGGATATTTCTTTTCGATATCCTGTAACTGCTTATCCGCGCTGTGGCTCACGGCTTTCTCGCAGTCGGTGCTCATACAGATCAGATAGGGCACTATCTGGACGGGATGTACCAGACCCTGCGCCAGGATCAACTGAATAACTTTGAGAGCCGCATGCCGCACGCTTACGTTGACGTGCAAGAAGGACTCAAGGATCTCTTTGATATACAGCTGAATAACAGTGCTCGCCATCCCTGACGACACGTCACCCATCTCCTTCAAGTTCTCCTGCTTTGACAGCTTGGCCCATTCCAAATCCTGCTTAATCATCCTCTTCTCCTCTTCTTGCAGATATACCTCGATGTTGTTAAGCACTTGAATTCTCATATGGACCAATGCGTACTCCGATGTGAGCAAATGATGGTAGAGTTCTTTCAGCTCCGGTAACATCATAAACTCATAATGTCGTATGCAAAGAGAACCTATGGCCGATAGTGTGAAGTGTCGGATATCGTCGTTATTTAAATGAACGAAATAGCTGAGTGTCTCGAAGACTTGATCCTTGATGTTATCCGCTAGGCCCTCTATCACCTCTGGATCCATGAAGTTAAAATGACGTAGCAATAAGCCGACCGTGAAAAGCGCTCGTCGGAAAAACGGTCTGCACCTTATTAACATAGGATTCGTCGGATCCTTCTCGTAAAATGATTTGTACTCCGTCAAATGTCCGTAGTATTTCTTGAAGCAGTCTCGTATCAGTTTGTAGTTTCGTGTGACGTTATTGACTACAGAGCCCAGACACGATAGACAGCTTGCAACCACCGATCTGTCATGTTGCAAGATCAGCTTCACCGAGTCTTCTTCCAACTGTGCTAAAAAAGTCTCGCTGGGATGTTCCATTAGAGGCACCACTAATTCGAGTGTGTGCGCGACGCTACTGATGATCTGATAATCGCCCTGTGTCTGACATTTCAAACTCAGATAAGGCTGTAGAGTGATCGCGTGATTGACCAACAGTCGTGGTCGTATCTTCGCGAATAGATAGAGCGTTGTCAGGCACGCGACCAATCTCTGCGACGAGCCTTTCTTTTCTGATTTCTCCGAGTCTAGATTTGTTTCCTCAAGCCGTAATACGTTCTCAATCAAGCAGTCCACGATTTGCTTGCACGCTGTCAGCAAAGCCCGCGGCGGCTCCGTCTGCATTTTTGTGCTGTCATCCTTGTCCTCCTTCGGCTTGAACAAACTTACCAAGAGTTGCTCAAACCACTCGAATCCCATATCCTTGCTGGCCGCTACAACGTCCGTGATGTTCATCACTTTTCTCAACAGAGATTCTGAGTCAAGAGTGGGACGCTCCCTTACTGGGGTAAACCACATGTTTTGGAAAACCTCCATGACGAGCTTCCGAATACCTTCTTCGTCATTCACCCTCCTTATCATTTTCACGCATATTTCCGGGATTTTGGGAAAGTCTGGACACTCCATGCAGATATCCTTGAGAATTTTGATTACGCGTTTTCGGACACTCACACCGGTATCTAGAATTCTCGCAGACAACATGTCATAATATTTGTCTATCAGTTCAGGTCTACTTAAAACAAATTTTCCTACCAAGTCAACCGCTGCCTCCCGTACTGACGTTGAGTGATCGAGAAACGAATGCTTCACACCCAGCTGCATGTCCACCCTCGCCAGCACGCTCGGATCGGCCTCGACGATCATCGTTAAACACTTCATTGCCTTCGTTCTAATGGCAATTGACGATTCTGTCAAAACATGGAGAATCTGCTTCAAATATTTATCAAAACTCTGTGAGAACGGTCTCTTGGACGCGAGATACTGCGAGATCAGTTCCGCGGAGTTGTAATCAATATATGTCTGAAGGATGTCCGGTTTCGTTCCTGTGCTGCAAGGCCTTATTCTACTGACAATATACTTCTTCTTCTCCTCTATAATTCTGTAAGCTTCCGAATTCTTCTGCTCGTTATTATCGTTTTCGTCTGGGTCTTGCTCGTCCAACTCGGATTCGGTATCTTGATCGCTGCTGTGGTGCCGATTTTTCTTCTTCGACCGTTTCTTGTGTATCTTCTTGCTCGGACTGTTTTTCGACTGGCCCACCCGGGACTTCTCCATCGCGCAATCTCGATACCATTGGGCCAGATAAAAGTGACGCGCATATCCGAGAGCCGGATCCTTCGTCCCGTTGACGGCTAGATAATCCAGAAGTACTTTCTGCAGAAACACAGTCCTTTCTTCATCCTCGTTTAGTCCTGCAATCTCCTTATCCTTTATATGATCGTAGTCCGAGTCCTTTTGCTGCTCGAGCTTGATATCTCGTATAATTTGGTCGATGGTCGACAATTTGCACTGCGAATTGACTGCATCTTTGCGCAATCTGGCCGCTACCACGCCGAGATAATCGATAGAAGCTACTCGAAGCGACATATCAGAGCTCTTATTAGAAAAATGTCCTACCAACAGATTACCGAGAACACTTAATAACAATTCAGCAGCGGGCCACTCGGGTTTATTCACCGTCGCCAATAAGTCCTGTACGAAATTCTCAAACAATGGTCTGAAATCAATCTCTTCGCCCTTGTTACCGCATTTGTTGAGAAATACCGTTAAAAAATTTCCGGCGATTCTGGTGGCGGTCTCGTATCTATTGATAATGAAGACGTCAGCATCTACGTGACTCGACTTCTTCTCGTCGTCTTCCTTCTTCGAGTCCGACAGAACTACTACGCACTGAATAAGTTGTAGGACCAATGCGGTTAACATCTGTATATAATCTTCAGAATTGAGCCTATACGTGCGTAAACTCCTTTTGCTGCTGGGTAGTCTCGCAATTGACGCCAAGATGTCGTCCAGTAGTAGTCTTCTATGCTTCTCGTACTTTGTAAATATTACAGTGACGAGCTTCAATGCACTCAATTGAAGATCACTCACCGATTCGACGAAAAACGGTGCAACACCCAATGACGATGCATGCAGAACACTTGTGTCCGTCAGAACCTGTATGTTCAATAGTTCAGCCAACAGACCTACCAGCTCGTGCATCTTATTGTAAACCTGCAGAATACTCTTCTCGCGCACTTCCTTCATATGTCCTCGCTTTTTGCGTCCGCTAGAATTAAAATTGTCAGTCTTATTCTTTGTATCTATCTTATATACGGGATCGAAAGAAGGATAGATCGTGTTCTGCAGCTGAAACTTCATGAAAAGGACTATTCGATCAATCACATCCTCCAGATAAACCGTCTTCGGCATATTGCTAGAGGTCATAATGTGCAGCGCGACCAACGACGAATCCACGGCGCGCTGTACCCGTTCCATCGCCAAGTGCATCCATAAACGCCCTTCCTCCACGTCATCATTCGGATCCACGAGCGGCGACACCCTCGCGCCGTCTCGTATGTTCTTTTCCAAGATGTTCAACAGCCTCACCAATTTATCCGTAGGTATCGATTCCATGGCGCCCAACGTTTTGAGTTTGGCTGCTTCCGTACAAAGATCATGTAACTGATACTTGGGAATAAGCACCTCCGCAAGCACTTCACCGTCGTCTTCCAGATCGGCACTCGCCAAAGCATCCTCAGTATTCTCGAAAATCGTCTCTATGGTAGAATTAAATCGTTGATACGTATTGGTCTCCATTAATTCCTCCACGCTCAGTTTGGCTAATACAGGCACTAATTTCTTTTCAATCTTACGTATTTTCGGTTTCGTAGGCGAGTACGATGCATCTCGTTTATCATCATCCTCTTCGTCGTCCTCCGTCATTATCCTTTTTCGCCTGCGACCTTTGTCCTCGCTTTTCCGCCGCTCCGCTTTCTCTTTCTCTCGTTGCACTTGCCGCTCTTTCGCGCGAGCTTTAAAATACTTGTTATTCTTGCCGATCTCCTCCTCGCTCTCGGAATCGGTTTTCAACGCGTCGTCACGATTGGAAATGCCCATTTTCGCCGCGCGACTCGGCGATTTCTCTGCAAACGCCGCCAAACTCTTCTGCATAAGTGCCTGGTCAGCCAACGATAATCTGTTCAACATAACAATGGGCTCTTTCATCTTTTCTGTTCCAGCCAATTTCATACTTTTCTCCGAATTATTGTTCTGTTGATGTTGTACATTGGGCGCTATGCTAGCCGCAGCCGGATCTAAAACATTAACCATGTCGGTGGCATGTATATTCGGATAGGATGTTGTCTGAGGAGTCGGTAATAACTGTTGTATCGCATGATCGACGCTTTGCTTCGTGTCAATGTTCTCCATCGGCAGATCGATATCGGAGAGACCAGCTACCGGATCGAGAAGGAATTGCTGATTCTCCTGTACTGCATTATCGATATCTAACGATTGACCGCTGCCTAACGCGTGATGAACTTGCTGATTCATCATGGAATCATAAAGGTTCTGCTGCATACCCATGGCCGGATGTTGTTGCAGAGGCACATTGCGTATCGGGGATGTCATGTGCATATTCTGTTGTGGCGTCATACCAGCCATGTTGTGCTGAGGTGTCATATTGGTGAGAGATGCCAGCGATGCATTTGGCGAGCTCATATGAGCCGGCGAGTACATGTTTGGTTGAAGGGCTACGTTCGATAGGGGATTCATACAGTTCGTGTCCTCCTGCATATGCTGGGGTGTCGTCAACGTTCTCGTTTGTTCGGTCATAACGTTACCTCTGGGCGACGGAGAAGGCACGGCGAAAGGGGACATCTGCGAAATGTCTGCGTGATTCTGCGGAGTGATTGGCATCCGCGGATGTTGCGTGTGAGCAATACCACTGGCCACCATCGGCGGAAGTACGGACCTGGCTGCAGCGGTTTGAGCCGGACTACCTTGGGGCGTTTGCCTGGAGCCCGAGGAGCTCGAATAAGGCGGCGAGAAACGACCGTAGCTCGCCGGCGATTGATTCGCGTGCAGCATAGGCGCACCTTGCGGCCAGTTCCTCGGAGAATTGTGCTGGGTTCCTCTGAATACGTCAGGGTTTATCTGCAAGATCGCCTTGAGCAATTCGGGCGTGTTTTGCTCGTTATCCAGCGATTGCTCGGTGTTCGGGTAATTATCCTTGAGTTCAATGTGTTCCGACGATGTCTGCGACAGTGACATTATCAACTGCGGTACGAGATTCTCATCGCGAAGGCTCAGCAATATCTTGGCTTCTTCCGCTACTCGTGGATGAAACAGCAGCGATTTATTTGTCAGAGTCTGCGGCAGCGGAGTTGGTAGGGGCATTTCAGGTAACAAGTCTGTGAGACTCGCGATACCAGCGAGGGTAGTTATTGGCACACTCGGTACAACCCCATTCATTTTGAGTTTGATTCGTTCTGGCATTACAGCCTGGACAAAAAAAAAAGAGAATCGAAATCAGTTTTAGTGTTCCTAAGCTTCCTCACCTCGTAGAACAATACAATGTTCTGAACACCGCACAGGCATGCTACAAGTACTTGCTTACGATATGCAGTAAATGTAAATTAACTGAACATATCTAAATACACTGTTTCCACAAACGTCTAAATAAATCATTGTTAAAATTTTCTCACTATGCATTTCAAGACATACTGACACAAATATTTCACCGTTGAACCAAGCAGTCTCTAATCCTCTTTGTTGGACACTAGCACTAAGGCAAATATTGGGAACTCAACAACAAAGTCTTTTTAAGTTCCCATGTTGCAAATGAAAGTCTCAACCAAATTTTGATGAAGCCCGTGGGTCCTCCAATAAGCGATCCATGTTTATCAGCACTTTGTTGTCCTGCAACCAAAATTTGACTTATGTAATTATTCTTAAAAAAATGTATTATAATAAATATATTATCTTCAAAAAATTAAATATTAAAAAAAAAAGAAAATATTTAAATAAATAAAAATTACGTACTAAAATAAAAATATCATAATACATGCAAAATAATGTATATAAAAACAAAAATAAAAACATCTAACCTAAAATGTGTTTTACGATGCATGTAATTGACATTGCTATAATTAAATGTTTTCTTATTTAAATGTAAACATTAAATCTAATTTTTAAAAGCAAAATTGTTTTACACGTGTTTCATAAAAACCAGATTTATATTTCTTTCTTAATTATTCTGTCTTATAAAAATTGAATTTACTTTCAGATATTTAGGCCATTGCTATACAGAATTTTAATACACAAAAGAAATATATATATTTTACATTTTACGATAAAAGAGGTCCATATTAAATTCACACAAGTCGTATATAACATTCGTAGGGCGATATTCATAGTCGAATCTTATTTTAAGACCGTCTTAAGTAATGTCTTAAGTTGCTAATACGGTTATTTGATTGGCTGGACGGAGTCTTAAGACTGCTTTAGACCAGACTTAAGACGATCTTAGATATAAGATCCGACTATGAATACCACCGGTAGACTAGATACAGCTTCTCAAATCTCACTACCTCAGCATACTGCTACTCAAAACACAAGCATTTAAAAAAAAATCTTCCTGGAAAAAAATTAATTCGTTAAATTTCCGTTTAAAAAATCCTACGTGTTCGCATAAAACAACCAATCGTTGGACAAAAAATGCAACTTGATCAGCTGACGCACACTAACAAATCAGAGTTTCTAGCGGCACAGCGAAACCGTACACCGTGGGATACTACAATAACATTCATTGACCCGACTCCGCTGCTTTTCCAGGATCAAACCAATATTAATAATCATCATGTGGCACAGGCATATCCCTTTACCTTCTCCGAATGAACGTCTACCATCCAACGTCGTGCAACACCCTCGGCGGGACCACGCGAACAGGTACAACAACACAAGAGCGGCAGAGAAGGGGGCAGGGGGGTAGAGGGGGGAAGCACGAGATCCTCCTGCGGACGATGAACGTTGAACTCTCTGGTGGGCAGGCGAGAGGAATTGGCCGGATCACTCGCGCGGAAAAGCGCCGTCGCGTGCTACGGGGACGCAGCGCGGATGACGCGGACACGGACGCGCGGCCGCGGCCGCGCGGCGCGACAGCTCCCGTGCGCTCCGCGCTTACCCGGGACTATATTTACGTCGCCGCTCCGCTCCGTCCGCTTGGCTCTCCGCGGCTGGGGTTTTTGGCGGGAGGCCGGAGCGCCGTATCAGCGACTCCGCGTCGCTTGCGGCCCGTCGGCGGGACCGTCCGGCACGTCGTGGCGACTGGCGCGTCGTCGGCAGGTCGGGATACTCGCCGCGGTCAACACCGTCGTCCGGGGGATGCCCGCTCAATTGTCATCCGCGGGGGCCACCGCGGGGTCTGGCCTACTTGGTTGGACGCGTTTCCACGTCGGCCACGGCGGGCCGCGGTCACGACTCGCGAGCACGACACTGCTCTCACACGCGTTTCACGCGGCGCCGCACGAGCATCGCCCCGTCGCAGGCGCTGCGTCGCCCCGTAAACCGTATTTATAGTGGGAATCCGAAGAAAACAGACACAAAGGCGTCCATTTTGCTCAGTGGCGAGCGAGCGGAAGTGGCGTAGTAGTGGGATATCGCTCGGCCCGAGACGCAAGTATTTACCGGCGGGGCGCTACGCGGCGTCGCGCGAGCAGCGCTTTGCTCGACGCGTTTGCATGGGGAAACTCGAACGCTCGTCCCCCCCGCCTCCCCGCGAGTGCCCGCAAGCGAAAGTTGTGAGTCGTAAGAATTGACCAATCACAATCGAATTTGAGGAGAATAATCGACTGTGATTGGTCAATTCTTATGGAGGATTCACATTGCCTCCGATCACGTCCGATGTTCGACGTACGACGATCTGACATCCAATAACAGAATTTATTATTAGAGACAAAAATTTCCTATTGGATGTCGGATCGTCGTACGTCGAACATCGGACGCAGTGTGAATCCTCCATTACGACTCACCGCTTTACGGCCGGTATTCATAATCGGTTCTTATATTTAAGATCATCTTAAGTATGTACAATCTTAAGATGTCATTAACCAATTACAAAGCCGTATTAGCATCTTAAGATATTACTTAAGATGGTCTTGAAATAAGATCTGATTATGAATACCGGCTTACGACTCGCACTGTAAACCTAGCATAAAAGGTATTTAAGCTCTAAGCCATAAAAAATTGACCAATCACAATCGAGTATTCTTCTCACATTCCATTGTGATTGGTCAATTTCTTAAACGTCGTCTACAATGACAGCAGGAGTATGCAGTAAGACGTAAGCAGTAAGCTATTGACCAACCACAGTCGATTATTCTTGAATTGTAAAAATCTCATTAGGGCCCGGACACACACTTTTTCGTAACAGTAACAGTAGGATTTCGACCAATCGTGTTACGGCCGTACGTTTTCAAATCGAGCAACGCGATTGGTCGAAATCCTACTGTTACTGTTATGAAAAAGTGTGTGTGGCCAGCTTTAGTCAATAACTTAAGGTCTATCCAGACAAACTTGCATAGGTGCATAACCATATGCATAAAGAAACAGATTGGTCTATTTTCTTATGGACATGCATATGGACCAATCAATTCTCTTATGCTTATGTTTATGCGCTATGCAAGTTTATTTGAATAGACCTTAAGTTATTGACTAATGGGATTTTTACAATTCAAGAATAATCGACTGTGGTTGGTCAATAGCTTACTGCTACGTCTTACTGGATACTCCTGGTGCCATTGTAGACGACGCTTAAGAAATTGACCAATCACAATGGAATGTGAGAAGAATACTCGATTGTGATTGGTCAACTTCTTATGACTTAAAGCTTAAATACTTGATTGAAATTTAATCAATCAGAACAGAGAAAACTGATCTCAAGTTTAGTAAACTTTGCTCTGATTGGTCAAATTTCAATCCAATCTCAATCCCAATCAATTAATAGTCTGATACGGGCATAAATGCTAGGTCTACAATGCGAGTCGTAGGCTGGTATTCATAATCAGATCTTATTTCAAGACCGTCTTAAGTAATATCTTAAGATGCTAATACGGCTTTGTTATTGGTTAATGACATCTTAAGATTGTACTCGAACGGACCCTTCGATGACGCACCAACCGGATCACGTGCTCATCGCGGTCGGCCAATGGGACATCTGGACATTCTGGACGCGATGCGTCACTGGTCGACGCGTCGGGACTCGGAACATACGCATACGTTTGTCGGCGAATTTATTCGTTGCTAAGTAAAATAATCGAATCCGCGTGTCAGAGATGTTTCGATCGAGTCGGATATCGCGATAACGATATTCAGATTCGCTGATTCGGAGTGAATTCAGACATATCACGACAATCGGATCGTCGCGATTTCTATCGTATCAACAGATTTATCAAATAACAGGCCTCGCGGACGGATCGGGTTGCGGCGCGTGGCCGCCAGGTGACGCGCCGCGCGGCGTTTCCGTCGTTCCCCGCGGCGCTTCCGTGTGCGGGGCCCCCGTGTGCGTGCGTGAAAATAAAACCCCGGACTCCGGAGCCGAGTGGAAACTCCAAAATGGCGCGACTGCCAAGTGTAAACACCCAGTTTTGATGTCGGTGCGGAGTGTCGTAGCCGTCATACGTCCGCGTCGATATCCCCACGCGTCCCGCGCGCATCGTTTTTTTGTCGCATCGTGGCAACAGGAAATTCCGGCTGAATGTTCACGGTATCCTCGATCGCCCATTCTATTCCAGGTAAATCCAGCCGCGGGTTTTGTTACCGCTCTCGTCCGTCTCTCGGCCTCGAGACGTTCCGCCCGCGTTTCCCCGGTCGACGCGGCCCGAGCCGACGCGACGCGACGCGTCGAAACCACGCTTGCTTCCGCGCGTGGAAAACTCGCGACGGATCTCTCCCGAAAAAAAAGGGAAGGATCGCTCTTTCCTACGATTTTTCCCCCCCGTACGCTCCCGCGTGCACGCGCAATTCAGGCGACACTACTACGTCCACCTAAATTGCTCCAGTTTTGCCGTGCGGAATTGCGAGGCCGAGCCGTAGAATGAATTGTGTTCAAATTGTTCGATCAAATTGTAGATAGTGATCTTTCGGCCGCCTTCGTATTAGGCGCGATAGAATACATAAAAATCTTGCTGGTGTGGTTAGCGTTGCTGGCACAGACTGGTAAGAGTTGCAGCAGTAGTTTAAGCTATTATGAGCGAACCGAATCCTTTCCTGACTCATAACTTTAATCTTAAAAGTTGCAGAAGGTAGAAAGATTGATTACAATAGTTACATATTAATCAACATTGATGTGACTGGCTACTCGAACCATGTTGCGTCAGCAATCGTAGTTGCCACGTGGTCATTAATCCTTATTGCAAGATACGAATTTTCAAGTAGCGTAAATTATATAGAGAATGTCCCGGAGAATTAAATGCAAATTTTAATAGAACGAAGATTTTGAACTTGTTGAGTTCTAGTAGTCTTTGAGTATTTTATATCTAAGTCTCTCTCTCTCTCTCTCTCTCTCTGAGTGAGCTATAGATAGACTATACTGGAATGTGAATTCTATGCTTAGCGCCTACGCGGCAAGAAGAAAAAAGCGGGTAATTACACCGGTATTCATAGTCGGTTCTTATTTCAAGACCGTCTCAAGTAATGTCTTAAGATGCTAATACGGCTCTGTGATTGGTTCATAATATCTTAAGATTGTACTTAAGACGTTCTTAAATATAAGAACCGACTATGAATACCGGCTTGAACCATTCTGTTTAGCGAATGTTGATTGGTCAATGGTTTTCAATTGTTCTCAAAGAGCACAGCAATAGAAAAGGATGGCTAGTTATAGTTCTCCACCTCTTTCCGTCTCCTTTCTTTTTCTAAAGTTGAATTCACATTCCAGTATAGCAGTAATTCACTGATCTAAATTCTGGGCCGCATTCAAATCAAGTCTTGTAAGAAAGTTGTTTATCGTCATACTAATGTATATTGTTTTACATACAGGGAGTGACCCAAGCAAAATGGCACAGAAGCGAGGCTCTGTCCACATAGGGTGAGTCATAATGCATACTTAATTTTGCATGAGATAATTTCTACCAAGTCGTTTAAATGTAACCGTTTAATCAGCCTATGTGTATTTAAATATATCGTATCTTAGATATAAGTCTAAATACACAAATGGAGACTTGGGTATATTTTTCTGAACCAAGATTTGATAATACATTTATTTAGAAGCATATGATACAGAGAAAGGCATTGAATAAAATTTCAAGAAAAAATATTTGTACGCATGACGTTTCGCTTAAAATAATATAAACAATTCTTATATGAAATTTGTCCATGTGCGTTTGCACTTTTCGTATCGAGTCCTCGGATCACGCGAGGGGAGCGAGAGAAAAGATCGTCCGGTAAAGACGTTTGAGACGACGAAAATAGCTGGCTTCGGCGTTAACGATCGCCGGTGAAATTTCGCCGTGTTACCGGTTTACATGCACGGCGAGAACTTGGTGTCGCGCGCTTGATTGACGCAGTTCCGAGAAATGATGCAGCGCCGGGATCAGTTACGGCGTTCGCCACACATAACACAGTAGGCAGTTCTCCGCTACCCCGGCTTTTACAATGCTGCTTCTCGGCCAATATACGCGCTGCGAGAGCGGCCCCGCGCGTTGCGACATCGCTCAAGAAAACGCTTCGTTATCGTAAGCGCCGCGCGCTTACTTTTACCGGCGCGCGGAGTCTTTCTCGAAAACACTTTTCTGCCGCGCGGCTTCGGCACGCGAAGCAGGCGCAAATGTCAACCCGCCGTTGTATCAACACACTCCCGCGACCCTCTTATATCGTGAATTTCCGATCTGTCGGACCCGGCCGGCACGATCCTTTCGGCGCGATAAGACTGAATACGTCCGCTCTGCTTTCTATATTGCCATTCCCACTCGTTCTGATATATACATATGTATATATATTTACTTTTATCAATTTTCACTGTTGCGTGTGTATCGCGTGTAAAGAAATCATTCTGAACATTTACATTTACAATGTCGAGGAATTTAAAGATAATCGGAGAATAATTCCTGGCCTTTTAAATAAGAATTCCGAAGATAAACTCTAGACGTTTATTTTCTTTTGCACCTAGAGTGGTCTCTCGTGAGATATTAAGAAGTTCTCCGGTTCTCCAGTTGCGTCCTTATCCATAAAGAGCGGCAGAACACATCCGAATGAAGAATTTAACTTTAGATACGTGGTAATATACCTAATTTTTGTCACCGAACGAATGTGAGAAGTTGAAAAAAGTCGAGTCAAGGTCCGGCGACAAGATCTTTCGAATTAATCTCGAAAAGGGAGTCCCCCGAAACGCCTACTTCGTACTCGCTCGCTCGCTCGCGAGCGGCGACGATGCATCCCGGTTAAAAGTCGTGGCTTCGCAACGGTGGCTGTCCCGGGCTCTCTGGTGGGAGAAGTGATAGTCCTCACCGGGGTATACCGCAGCAGCACATTATGCGGCTATGGTGGAATCAGTCACTAGCGAGTTGTGGGTGGTGGCTAGTCGGCGACCCATCCGTCCGTCGTCCGTTCGTCCGTCCATACTCACGTCCGTGAAACGTCTTTCCGCGTCACTTCGCCCGCGATCTTCATCGATCGTGATCGAGACCGCGACGCACGCCGACGCGCCATTATCCGAGAGTGCGCCGCGACGAGAATTTTGGCGCCGAAAATTGGACGCCTGGCCGCGTGTGCCGTCAAACGTTCTCTCGTTTGGCTCTCAGTGAATTAGGCTCATCGTTGAAGAAAAAAATCGATCTTGATTAATCGTAGGATTTTTAACAAACGTAGCTGGAAAAACTTGAAGATTTTGTAAAATATTTGAAAAATGTGAACTATTTTGGTATTGAAAATTAAATATGTGGAGTTCTGTGTTAAATATGAAAAATATCAAGTCATCTGATTGAAAAGGCACGCTTTTGATTATCGCCGAATCGCGGCGAGAATTTTAGTCGTTAAATTCTGAGGAAAGATTGACCTCTTTATTGACATATCAGACACTGAACTTTAGACGAGCAAGAAAAGCGTATCGCGATAAGGTTTTATTATTGATTTTATTACTCATTAAAGATTTTAAAGAGAAGGAACTCATTCGTTGCTGGTGACCGCGGTGTAACCGAGGAATTTTGTGGCATGGTTTTACGCGGGAATTTGACGCATCCGTGATTTGCGTGCGTTTCTCGTTACGCGAGCTCAGCCGAGTTGATTTCGAACGAGCGACGAGTTCATTTTACGATGAAACAAACGTAACGCGGGATCTGAATTTTCGACGTCAACTGCGAAGAACAAACGTTTCGGAGACCAGTGATCACCGTTCGCCATATGATTTCCGGTACGACGAGGATTTGAGGGTGCGCGATTAGATTCTCTACAGAATCAGCCAAGACTCCACATCCTAAATATATAAATAACGATTTTGGAAAATAATCAAGCAGATTGGTAAAACATCCTGAGGGATAGAAGCTCACGGACGCATCCTGTGAAGCAACAGGAATTCGACAGGATCTAACTCGACAGGATATCGTAACGAAATTGCTCCACAGTCATTTCGTTTCGAAAATAAGCTAATTCGCTTAACTCGCCGTGCGAATCGATCGAATGGCTTTGAACGGAATTTTTCGGGACAAGTGATCACGACGCGCGCGAACCGCTTCAGCGATGGCCGTCGCTCTGAGGAAATCGCGAGACGAGGGAAAGATTAGCGCGATTGTCCCGTGGATCGTACGCGACAGTGCGACGAAAGGAGCGTGCAGAATTCGGCGCGAGTGCAACGACGGCCCGACGAGATCGAGAGTCTCGTGACGTTCTCGAATTCGCGATCAAGTTCTGGGAACCCGGGGGACCCATCAGAGGACTTTTCTTCGGGAGTGAGTACCGCTCTCGTCGGCTACTGGAAGAGCGGAAAAGAAACAAACAATAGTTAATAGAGCGTAGGCGGGCAAACTTGTTATTGGCAGGCGAATAGAGCTCACCTCGTGAAAGTGGCCGATTTGACGCTTTCCAAAATCGAAATCACCGCCGCGCCGGAGGCGCACTTCCGTAACGAGCTTCTTTTGCTTCTCCCGTACTTTCTTTCTTGGTCGATTAATCGTGCCGTCGCGTTGACTAGCGAAACACGAGGAGTTTATCTATTAGAGAGAAGCGACTTTTATTCGAATTGCGAAATCCGCCGTGCGGGAAAGAAGGTCGCTCATTTGCAGCGGCACATCCTCATGCGCTAACTTCGAGGATTCTTCATGATACTCCCATGGAGTAGATGAAAGCAACGGAACCAAAATTATATTTTGTGCGCACATCAAGAAGAAGGAGGGACATATCGGAAAACGTCGGACCTTCTCAGTCGCAGATAAAGACAATTCCGGGGGGGGGGGCAATCCCAGATAAAGCTCCCGTTTTCGCTTATCTTTGTCTTCGTTGAAAGATTGCCATACAATTCGTGGACCAAGCGTACGCAGTCTCGAATGATTAATCTTTAATGGAAACTTCCATTATCTGGTAGAAACAAACACATATTTCTCTCGTCAATTATTATGTTTAGAATAAATTTTCGAAGTGCGCAGATAAAATAAGCGAATATAAAATGATTAAAGTATAATTTATTAAAATATACCATCGCGCGCTCTTTTCAAGATCGGTGAAGAAGTACACGAGCGAACGTGAGTAGAATTTAGATACAAAGGCCTTCGAAACTGTGGAGCCTTCGAAACTCTTGAAGTATCCCCGGCTAACGCTGAAGAGGGAAACGCGAAGTACAAAACTGCTTGGTAGACCGATGGTAGATCTACATCTTGCTCCGGGTAACGAGATGACAAGATAATTCGGTGGAAGGCGAGCGCAACATAGTCGAACGAGTTTCTGTATCAGGAACCTCGAAATCGTGCACTCGAGCTATTAAACCGTCAAGATGTTTTCTTTTTTATTTCACGAAGACCGAAGCGCAACATGACGAGATGCGATCAAGGGACGAGGGTGAAAACTACGTTTTATCGCGAATTTCTTCGTGCGATCGGGGTTAGAAGAATATGACGTACTTGGCGCATATTCTGCCAATTCGAAGACTGTGTATAATGAACTTATAACAAGGATAGAGTACGGATACGGATGCTGTGCGGAAGCTGTGAATGAAAGCACCTTGCGTGGACGAATTATCTACTGTGTCAGAATAATTTATCGTGCGTTAAGTTTTTGGGGAAATTTCTAACAGACGGAAGTGTATTGTGGTAACGCGCGATTTTCGCGAGTCCTCTCGGGAAACAAATATGTTTGAGTATGTGTGTACATATATATGTGTGTCTTTGAGAAGCGAGCACCAACTTGGTGCGACAGAGTCGTTACCAAATAGTTCGAGAGTTAATAAGCCTTGTGCTGTGTGAATATAAATAAATAAGTTCGCGAGATCAACGATTATTCTCCAAAATTCCATACTTTCTTCTCGTCCTAAATCCGACAATATAAATTTCATTAAATGTACGAAAGTGTGATAATCTCGGCGCGATAAGACGACAAGTCGATAATTTAAGAATAATGTGTGATTAACTTGACAATGGACGCAAGCATACGAGTATTTTTATGAGGAGATACAAAAGTACATCGGTGAATAATCGCGAGGTAACAGGGACGATTCGGTAACGCCGGTAATTTAAGCGCGATTCGATAACGATACGAAGAGCGTGCAACGACGATCTCCGTGAAACTGCGATAGTGCGCCGACGAGTAATCTGCAGCGGCGATATGGAGTGTTAACTCGCTGGGTGACGCCTCCGCGAGAGAGTGATACACGTTTTATTCTCCGATAATCGAGTTGGCTATAGCAAGAAAAAACCGCCAAAATAGAGTATCCCGGTAGCAGCGGCATGTACGGGGGCGGGTCGGCGGGCAGCGCGGGCTACGGGGTCGGTCTCGGACCGGGCCCCTCGCATTACGCGGCCCCCTCCGCCACGGTGGGCTACCAGTTAGGCCCGCCACCGCCGCCGCCGCCACCCCCGCCCGTCTGTCCCGTCACCACAGGAAGTCAACTTCTGTCTTACGGGCCCGACCTATCGCCCCATCACATCCAGCAGGCCCAGCCGGAGTCGAAAAGACGGAGGTAAAAAGGCACCGTTATTTCGTCGTTATATTTTTTTTCTCTCTCTCTCTCTCTCTCTTTGGGACATGCACATTTCTGCGCGCATAGTGAATTTTTTAATTTACATATTTTCCGTGATATTTTATCTGTGAAAATATGCACTGGGGTCGGATAGATTATTACTCGCATATTGTTTGTCTTTTTAAATCTTTCAATACACCGCGTTTTATATACACATAAACATACGATATGAAAATACTTTTTACAGCGTGGTTATCGGCTTGATAATTTTTATGACGTTTATCTCTATCGTGAGTTTTACGTAAGTCCCTCGATTGCGGCGAAACTTTCGTGAATATAGATTCTAAGGCGTACAAACTCTCAGCCGTTTTAATTACCCGCCTTCACAATTAGCGCTCGCTACATTGCAATTCATCAGCCGACGAGTCATTCTGACATGATGCCAACAATTCGCAGAATGCGCTTGTTTCGCGATTGCGCGGAAGAAAAAAAAACAGAGAGAAAGGAGCGTAGCAACCACCTTTGAATTGAGATAGCTCGATTATCGACAAATTTCGGCGTAAAAGGCGGCATAAAAAGCGAAGTATTTATCGGTTAAAAAATTCTGAAAAGAGATGCTGGACTACGTCTTCAATGATATTACTATCGATTAATATATTCTAAAATAAATTAAGCAAAATTAAGATTATAAAATTGGTATCCAAAAAATAAATTAATTAATTTGAACGAGGACTTTCGCTAAAATCAGTATCGTGTTTACAGTATTATTTAATGTATTGTAGTTGTATAAAAATTCAAATTTGCAAAGAGATATAATCTATTAAAAGCAAATCTAAAATGTTGACCACACAGAAATGCGTTAAAAATGTAAGTATAGCTTTACGTCGCGTAATTTTATTCCATGCCCGTCATCGTCGCGTATTATTGTTGGTCTTTATACGGAATGTTATTGCAGAATCAGCAAGTTTTCATCCGCATCAGCACGTCGACGGACAGCTCGCGTAACGATTTTGTTTTTCGCTGCAACTTAACTGGCTGGATATTTCAATACATACATACATCGAATATGACGTATATATAAGAAAAAATTCGACGTACAATCATTTCCATGCACAAAAACTTGCACGTTACAGTTACTGATTACAATATCTTTCTCATTTTTTTTTCTTAATTTTATCTTTTATTCGCTTTCAGATAAGATTCAATTGTGCTAGCTATTTTTTTTGCACTTTACCGATATGACGTGCCGACTATATTTTTCTGCGTATTCTAGTCTGACAATAAGCCGTAACTTTCCATTCGCGCGTTTTCCGTTTAGGAGCGCGTCCGTGCTTCGGTATTTCTGCGATGGGGTGAAAGGTCGATCTATCGAAAATAGCAGCCGACCCCGCTCTGGGGTGAAACGAGTGCGAAGGGGAGCGTTTTTCCCCTTCTCTCCCATTCAGCCATTATATCTCCGCCTCACTTTCGACGAACCCGACGCAGTCACGCGCCATTGATCCCAGCTTCGTCTCTTAGCGGTTGGACGTACGCGTGTCACGATATTCCTGGCCGTTTCGCTGGCAGCTTTGGACTTGCAACATTGCTGTCCGATTCGATCGCGCGGCGACGATTCGCGCGGACTCGAGGATTCGTGGCATGGATGTTTACTCACTTGTTGCTCTCCCTCCGGGGAGATGTGCGGCCAAAGTGAGAATTTTCAATAGATTCACACCTCGTTCTCTCACGACTTGATCTGAATTATTTTATCGAACCGGCGTTGAATTTTTCTTAGAGAGCGAGGCATAAGAATTCACGAAAAACACGAAGGCAAACGGTTTGGTAGACTCTAGCTGTTGTAGACGGTCCTTGTTTTTTAGAATTAAAGCAACTGTATTAAACTGTCAAATGTGATATTCTGAAGAGTATATTAGTAATATGATTCGTGTAACTAAAAAGACAACAGAAACATATACACTTTTTTATACAATTTTATACAATGAGAGATAATCTTTCTTTTTAGCTTCTTGATAGTATTTTCAATGAAGAAAACGTTCTACAATAAAGTAATACGATACGACCAAGGTGTCTCGCTTCTTCGCTTGTGCCGGGCTCGAACTGCATTTTTAATCGAACTCGCGTCGCTCCGTTTCCCTGCGATGTATTCCACACAAAGACACGTGTATCTTGTATAAAAAAAACTTTTTGCGCGCGCGGCCTTGAATGAAGCGATACTTGGGGTACAGTCATCGAAACAACGATAACGATAATCTCTCGGAACCATAACGAAACTCGTGGCGAGACGATATTACGAGAAGGATACTCATAATTATAGTCCTAGGCACGTGCGGCGCGATAAGCCCAGATATCTAAAAATATGTATTAACAAAAATGCCGTCGCGCGATAGGTGCGAATTTTATCGACAATTGCGATGAAAGTTTTTACACCGTCGCCGATAAATTTTATTGACAGATAAAACGGGATTATTTGGCGAGATTAAAAAACTTCGGTCTGTATTAAATACCACGTTTGCCGAAGAACAGTAGCGCATCGGGAGTTTTTATACGATGCAAATGTAATCCAAATAGCATTCGCATAATTAGAACGTACGTTAAAATGATTACTGCGCGCAATTAACGTCGAACAACAACAGAGAGGGCGTGCATTTAATACGTGTATCCTTGCACGCACACGCCATGCAAAACAGAGTACCTACGTTTACGGGCGCACGGACAGCTCTGAATCTCAAACCGTGAAGGACAAACAAAGGAGCGTTCGGCTTTTCATAAAGATGTTATTCAAGTTATATATTAAAAGTCAATTAAAAAACAATGAATAAAATAAGATATGTAGCTTTCTGTTCTCTTCAATAATATTCTTGATTAAACTAATAGAAGGATTCTTCCGTTATATGTAATCAATAATCGTCCTTTATTTTGTTCTTTGAATATTCTTTTTCATCACATTTTCAAGAGAATAAAACTCCGGTAAAAATGATAACTGTCAATGAAAAGAAATCTCTAACGGATATAATTAAAAATTGATATGCATGCGATTTTTTTTGTCGATCAAGCACCGCTGCCGCACGCCGCGCGCTGCTGTTACAAAAGCGAAAGAATTCTCGCGACGCGGACGGGCGGCGCGCGGCCTTACTTCCGCGAACGCTAATGAGGTGTTACGCAGCGCAGCAGCAGCAGCAGCAGCAGCGCTGTTGTGCGTTCTCGATTTGCTCGTCGTCCTCGTGCAGCTTGCAGCCGCGTGGTGCGACGCATCGTTCGCCACGGAGCAAACAAACTATCGTCGATTGCAGAAGCGCGCGAACTAATGCGAGGAGCTTAGCGCCGCGCCGCGCGTGCGGATGGTGCACTCACGTGCGGGCGCAGGCACGCGGCAAAACCCGCTCGTCGCGGAATTCGTCACGTAGCGGAGATTTGCGGCCGGCCCGGTCCAACGCAAATCCACGTGACCGATTACCAGATCATTACGTTACGCAATAACATCGTTTCCCCGAATCCCGCTGCCTTGCCCGGCAAACTCGGCAAGTGGGCGAGTTTTGTCGTGAAAAAAAGAAGACGCCGGATACTGCTGGCATGCAGAATCATCCGGAAAAAAATTGAAACATTGTCCATTAATGAGAGGGAAATGTGAGCTTTTATCACCTATTTTATTATAATTTTAGAACTCTGATATTTAATTTGAAAAATCGCAGCGTTGTAGAAAGAATTCTGACGTTCGTTCGACTTTTAGTTAACACAAATCTAATCGACCGATTATTGACGTCAGCATGTGACGGAGAGAAGAACAAGCGAGCGTATACAAATCGCTTGGCCGTGATTATCGGCGTCATATTCGTTCTCGTGTGCGCGGGCACGATATTTTTCCGCACGCTTCTGCCGCAGAGGAGTCGTTGAACCGGATGGCTTGACGCCGAGGAAAGTGTGTTACGAGATTGAAGCGCGCGTATTATTTTCATTCATAATTAAGACCCTGTTAGTAACGCTCCGTACGCGCGGGCCGCGATGCATATTTATGTCATACACGATCGACATGCATCTGGACGCGCGCACGCCGTTGAATGGGGAATCACAAAAGGTAAAAATAAAACAAACTGACAGCAAGTTGAAGTTCTTCGTTTTTCGCCATCAAAATTATCGCAACAGAAACTAATCTCTCAACATTCAAAATTTTTTTTATTTTTCTATTTTACTTATTAGACATAAATTAAAAATACAAATATAAAATTATAAAATTATGAGATCATAAAATTATGTGAAATAAAACTTGAATAAATATGATATCTCTAGTTTCCCTATTAGACATAAATTAAAAATAAAATATGAGACATCGTAAAATTATATGAATAAAACTTAGAACTCTTTTTGTTGCTTTTTTTCTTTTGTTATTATTTATTATTTTGTTATTTAATATTCGAGAAATTTGTAAATTATTATAGAAATACGAACCGTTAAAAATAACGCGAAAAAAAAAGAAATATCCAGAACGGAAGGAAGGCGAATATAGAAGCAGTCAGTTGTACATTGCTGTTTGTTATACGCATAGAAGTACTAAACGGCGTGCGCAATTAAAGTCCATTTCTCGTTTCCTCTTCCTTGTGTGTCGATTCGCGTGACTTTCCGCTCTAGGCAAACCAACCCGCCTTAGACAATAAGGATTTTTTCAGGCGTGAAAACGGTCGAGTTTCTGATCCGTTCCGTGCCGGCGTGCGATGGGACAAAATCGAACGAATCTCGATGTCTATCGTATCGGCATCTAATGTCGCCCGATGAAGTAAATACTTGGAAACTTTGCGAATTAATACAAAAAAAAATAACACTACAGTTTCTTAAAATCGAAATTACACAGAAAACATGATGTACTGAATTTATGAAGGGTTTACATATTATTATTAGCGTAAAAAATAATACCGAGAAACTTTTCGCGGCTCGCGTCTAGTTTCCTAGATTTCGGTACGAACCGTGGCTCGCGGAACGGAGAACTTTCGGCGTGCGCGAATACTCCA